AATCTAAAAAGGTGCCAAATATGATGAATATAAAAGTGATGATGTTATGGTGGTGAAAGAAGCTGTCAACAAGGAAATAACATTCTTGTTAATTGTGGGGATACAGTATCATGGAGTATGATTTGTATAATGTAAATCTATCTCCCAGAAACAATAAACAGTGTTATATTACTGTGCTGATATCTGGAGTGTTGCAAGGGGAGAAATGACAGGACTGAAAAACAAGACAAAACAGATCTGCAGTTGTTTTGTAATAGTTAAATGCTGTAATGGGTTTGGCTGTTGGATGGTTAGACATAAATAGGAGCAGAAAGTAGTGGTTCCATTTTTCAGACATGTTAAGGGAAACAGATTTCTTTTGTTTTGTCAGACAATAATTGAATCAAACAGGAAATTATCTCATAAATGTTTTAAAAAGTATAAAGAATAAAAATGCAATATTAAAGATGATTGTACTCTATATGATTACTGTGTGTTTGTAATTTTCAATATATGACAACATATTTACATACATTATTATTTAATTAATTGATTAAAGTGTGCATGTTTTTTTTATTAATTTTTTTTTAAGAACTCTAGAAAAAGTTTTCCAATAAAGTTTAAAATCAGTGTTTTACAGCTCCACATGTACAATGGGAGTCATTCCAAAGCTGTTCAAGCACATTGGCTTCCTGTGGGATTTGGGGGGTCCCTAGAGGTCCCCCTTTAAACTTTATGTTACAGCCTAATGAGCATCAGAACCTGTGTGAGGATTCATTAAAAGTTCACTTGAGCAGTATCACCCTACATAAATGTTACTCTATACTACTGCTCATCACAACAGAAAATATCCTCAAATGGGGTTCAAGAGGAAATATCAAAATATCTGTCATGTAATGTGCATCAGTAGGGTACAGACTATAGCTTAATAAACAGAGAAGCTGTTGAGTTGTAAAGAAGAGCACTTCAGTTTCTCTCTTTTTTCATATCAGTGACAGTGAGTGACGAACTATAGAGGGCCTCATTAACGCTCATGATTGCCTCTAAAGAGGCTAAATCTATAAATAAATGTCTCCACATCTACTTAAGGAGAAAAGAAAAAAATACACTTTTTGGGGGAAAACATTCCATAGTTTGCTCCCCAAAAATGTACTTTTGCTTTACTTCAGGGGCCAATGCGGAGCAGAGAGGCAGCGGGTGTGAGATATAAACTCGGCACAGGGGATACATTTTTTCTGAAATTTCTGAAAGTTTTGACTAATTTATCACTGTGATTTGCTTGTCTACTGTGTAAATCCTAAAGTTGGCATAATTCCTACATTTGGATTAAGCGCCACTCCAATTCAATTTAGACCGATTATTTACATCTGCAGGTACATGGGTCTTTTTCATTTAGAGCACCACGCCAAGTAGTTTACTGTCTGAAACCAGGCATTGAAATGCAGATTCATACTATTGAGCATTTGACTCGTCGGCTGTTATTCACAGTCAAATTACAACGTTTCACATAATGAAAAGAAAAATACTGCGCGCAACGAGCCGTCTTTATTTAAAGTGGAGGAGGAGAGAAGGGGGGTTATCCAAGGTGTTTGAGACAGATGAGGGAGGTGGGGGTCGGAGAGGGAGGAGGAGGCGGGGAGGGTAAATTGGGCGGACACATAAAAACTGCAAGGGGCCATAGATGCTGGATCATTTGGAAAAGTCTGGCCGTCCTGCTCACCGCCCGCCCTCACGAGCAGTACTGGAGACGGATAGGAAACCTCGCTGCAAGACCCCGAGCACCGGCCTCCACTCCGACCCCGTCTCCTCTCGTCCGCTTAGAGGTGTCGCTAAAGGATTAATGAGCCAAAAAGGCACCCAACTTCTCCTTTAAGACTCGTTTCGGCGTTTTTCGGCTTTACGCCTGGACTGCCTTACACCTTTCCTTTCATATTCACTTCATTCGAGGATACCTGTACCTCTACTGATGGTAAGCGCTCATCTACTGACACATTCACACAGCACAGACGCAGAGATTCAGCCGCGCAGCTTTTAAGAAACGGAACCTGTTGAATAAAACAGGAGGAATCTCGTTCACAGTTTGTGACTTTTAGTTTTTTGGTCTTTGGTTTTTCCTGCGCGTTTTAATCGACTTCACTGAGGGTTTGGACAGCGTTCCCGGTAGAAATATACATGGATAAATGTCCATAAAAATCGTACAGCTCGCCTCATTGACACAGAAGCGGAGATAAAGTGAAATAAAAGTGTATTTGGGGACGAAAAGCGCAGAAATCCTGGTGGAGCTCGTAGCAGGTTAAAGCCTTTTGTGCCGGAGAGTTGAGCAGTGACAAACCAACATAGTGAGGTCATTTCCAAACAGAGCGTCCAATTTCTCTACGCTTCTCTCCCTTAAACACAATTAAAATATTTACATTATGCCGATTTTAAACTTTTCCCCCGAAGTCTGGCGGAGATTTTACCCGACTGAACACCTGTATCTGCTTCTCGTCATCCCGGTATGCGTAATGTGAAAGATGGAGATGACACAGCTCGGGATTGAAGCCAAAATGAAAAAAACAAACATTGTTTTTCTCCTCATTTTTATTTCTAATTTATTTTAACTATATATATATAGGCTTTCAAGATTAGTTTATGTGTAATTGAGCCATATTTTAAACGGCATATTTGAAACAGTACAGCAACAGTTGCAAGAATTCCGGTTTGTATTTGTTAAACGACATTGTAATACAAAGGCTCAACACCCTTTTCACCAGTTTTTAACATCACCTGATGTGTAACCAACGGTTATAAAGTGAAATTGTGTCATTTTATACAGTCAAGCTTGCAGTAGGGAAAACATTTCGCGGCCTGCATGGCGTTCTTGGCACAGTCTTTTACTTTTATATTCAAGTTTCTCTGCCATCATGCAGGCGCACATACTCCTAATAGCTATTCACACACTCAAACTATGAATGCTAAGGCGTTTTATATTATAATTATATATTTGTCTAAAAAATCACGTGTGGCTGGCAAAGACAGGTTCAAAGTTTCATGAAAATATTGGCCCAGGTGTTGACTTTGTGTTGGTGCAACCTGATGTTTTAGGTTTTACATTTGTATCATTTAACAACCATCAACCTGTTCAGCTGAGAGCATTTCACTTTGCCAATGTGATTTTGTTTTTCGGAATTTCTTCTTAAACAGTGCGAAATCAACATAAGAAATCTCATAAAAGTCATGCAACTCATCATTTTTATCGGACATCTTGCCTTTTACAATATACACAACCATTAACCTGGTTTCAGTGATCTCACTGACTGTGAATGTTCTCACTGTTGAACTGCTCACTGGGAGCAAATAAAACCCCAAACCTACACTATTCAACAACAAGAGACATTACAGGTCTCTGTTTTATTTCTGTCAACACAAATGAGGACGTTGCATTTAGTTGGGCACAGTGTAAAGCCCAATGTAAAGCCACAGTTACTATTTAAAACCATTTAGTTTCAACCTAACATGTTACTTTTTGTCTTTGCAACTATTGATCATTATTTGGAGTAGTCATTTGAATCACTCATACCAAGTATCATTATGTATTATATGTGATCTAAATTAGCACTGACCAGAGAAGGACATTAAACATAAAATATGGCAGCTGATTACAAAACACAATTCCCATGACTTTAAACGTTGGTAAACTGATCTAAAATGATAAAATCAGGCCAGAGATTTAGCTGTTCCCGTGGTAACCTGTTGTCCTCCTCCCTCCTTCCCTCCCACCATCACTGTCAAATTCCTCATGAAACACATCTGAAGAGCCATGTGCATAGTCTGATCACATTATCTTTGGTCAGAGAGAGAGAGAGAGAGAGAGAGGCCAAGGGGGATCGAGCAAAGCCAAGGGCAGTTGACTGCTCCGGCCTAATTGCACCCTGGTCTGCATTTGTTGTTGCAAAATGTGTCTCTGTCTCTCACTCAGTTTAGATGTATTCTAAGTGTGAAGCTTCTCAAAACATTTTATAATTCTGGGAATTCTGTTTTGCTGTCGCTGTTAGATCAAGAGGAGTAAATGTGAATCCACAATGCTGATAAATGCGGTGGAAAACCATTGAAAAAATGAACAGAGTGGAAGTGGAAATGTTTTGCTTTTTTGAAATCATCACTGGTGAAAACAGGCCAGCAAAATGAACGCAATGACTTTTTCCAGAGTTGAAAGTTACTCCCCGTCTGCCTTACATCTTCTTTCATCATCATCGCACCACTTTGAGTGTCTGTCTGTTTTAGCCTGCAGCTTTGTCAGTGGCTGGTTACAGTTACAAGATGTTCTGTATGGTCAGTGTTTTTGAGTGCTATGAATCCCTGTAATCATGGGAGAGGCCCTCGCTGTACAATGAACGTTTGTTGTAAGAGATGTGCACACATACTCTCTCACACACACACACACGCATACATATATATATCTAGTACACATACTGTAGACATGGACTCAGAAACTACAGTCAGTCATCAGGCAAAATAGATTTAGATGGCTTTTTCAACCCTTCCTCACACCTCACTTACTCAAACTCACTCGCATCCTTTTGCGCTTCAGCATCTATTTAAAGTGAAAACCCACCCTAAAAAAACAACAACAACAACAACAACAACAACACACGTCCCATGCAGTCTTAAGTGGGAACCGTCAGACAGCGTGGCTTGATGACAGAACAGATTAGTGTCTTGGTTCTCTGGATTCTATCTTTGGGAGAGACAGGGTTCCTACACAGGGATAGTCTGGATGTTGGGAGGATGTTTGAATCGGAATATGTAGTGTTCAACGTGTGTCTGAACACTGATACTTCTTTCAGACGTGGATTTATCTTTGACTTTAGGCACACGGATGTCGCAGTGTAATGTTATTTTGTGACAAAGTTTCCAAATGTGTCATGTAAGTATTGTAGGAAACACTAGGACATGGTCTGGTTTTTAGGTTACTGACTATGAGTTTATGTCAAAAAGAGTCTAATGAGTCAAATGACAAATTTAATTATTTCTTTTTTTTCTTACAAGTTATCTGACATGGCTCTACAAACACCAAAACAGTTCACTGTCAGGGTGAACACTGCTTACACAACAGTAACTTTTCAGTAATAAATGTAATATTAAGACAGATATTGGGGATAACTTCTAGTCCTCTCAGTCATAAATTGTTCTCCGTTACAAAAATACTTGAAACATGACAGTAGGTCATACGATCTCAAAGTATTTTTTTAACGCAGAGCACACGTGTTGTCTTTTCTTTAAATACATCACAGGTTGTTGTAAACCTTTCGTGTCAATGAATACACAAAGAAATGTCAGACTTGTTAAACCTGAAATGGTAGAAGCCGAAGAAATAATAATATAAGTTATCTGAATTCCCGACTCGTAAATAGCGTTCACGTCAACATCTATGTTGTAATTGCAACTGGAAACTTCTCTGAAAGCTCTAACATATCCCATTTGGCGCTTCATAAAACGGAAGTGTCTGAAAACCAAACAAATGTGGATGCTTCATGTCAGCTGTTCAAGAAAATTAAACACAACTTTAACGGATATAGTGCCATTTCTTTTGTTCACACAGCCAAATCGGTTTATCATCCAGCCATTTCGAGTTCTTGGCGATGTGAATGCTCACAAGATGTAAACATGGGAATATTTTCCATCTCCATCATCCAGACTTATCCACAGCAAATCTGTGGTTTAGTTCTGGTCTTTCGTGAATGGTAATGTTCCGATATTCATCTGTGACCAGTCGTCCGGTACAACCGGTCATACTTGTTGTTTAACATTTCACATCATTCAGGTTTCGTGTGTGAAACGTGGTGTAAGGCTACAGGAAAACTGGAAATAATCATTTTAATTATACTATAAACTGTTTGGTATGGTGAATAAAAGATGACACGTTTTCCAACCTAAAACCTACATCCCACAAGTCTTTCTTTCACACTTTTCAAGGCCTCAAAATGTTCTAGGATCACAATGAATTCTGTACCCATTGTTGGCAGTTTTCATTTTCAGACCTGTGTAGGAACCCCGAAGAAACAAAGTAATCAATTGCCCATGGGAATACCAAAACTGTATGGAGATTGTTTAGGGTTGATTTTCCCTTTAATTAGGCGTGTTGTACAGTGGAAATAAAAATAGTTGTGTGTATCTATTTTTAAGGGTTTATAGCACTCTTAAACGAAGCATTCACACATGCGTATCCGGGTGATGATGTCAGGTGGGATGTTTCACTGTAGCGCACGTAATCCATCACCGCACTGTAGTTTGTGTTTCTGTGGAAAGGGCCATGAGGTTGGGGAGAGGGTTGTCATGAGTCAATATAAAACAACTGTCCTCCCCCCCTCCGACTCCTCTGCATTTAAGGTCTCCCAGGGTGTTAAGCTCATCATCCACCCTGGGGGGGGGGGGGCGGGGGGGGCGGGGGGCGGGGGGGCCGCGGCGGGGGGCGCGCGGGGGGGGGTCTTTGTCTTTCTAGCTTTGTCCAAATGGATAGGGTCCGTGAATACCCTGAAAAAAAAACATAAGAGAAAAGGTGTTACAGGAGGTTATAGTTTGAGGTTTTTTGAAAATCAAAGCCAACTTACAGCAGTAGCTGCCAACCTGGGGGTCGGGACCCCGCTAGGAGGTCGCTAAAGCTTCAGAGGGTTACGTGAAGCCTTGATTTTATGGTGTGTAAGAAAATATAACAATATACACCATAAGCCTGTCTCCCTGCATTTGGTTTATTTCTGTGAAGTAAACTAAATGAAATTGTTTTTATATATAGTCCAGATTATTGTTTTAGATCTTTGTAAACTTGCACACAAGCTTTATTCATTATTTGAACAGGTTAATACTGTCTTACGCATTACATATATAATATGTCACTTAGTCAGGGGTTGTCAGTTTCCTCCGTGACAGAAAAGGGTTGGGAACCGCTGCGTTACAAGAGCTGCACCGCCATCTGTTGTTATTATCAGTTTCATGTATGACGCAGCTCAGACAATGGCCCTTTGAATGAATGACTCATTTAAATACCACGACTGGATGGCGTTTTTCTTGATAATACACGACAGCATTTGACTAATTTACATCATTTTGGCCACACCCCATAAGTAATAGTTGAAATCAAGTAGAATTTATTATATTTTAGAGAAAATTCAGACTCTAAAAAGTTACTGTGATTACCGTGAATGTATTCATCAACCACATCAACGAGCAATGTGTTGCTGTATGCATGTAGATTTTGCTCGCAGCTCTGGAAAAAATAGACTCGGTGACAAAAAGATGATTGAAAGTCAGTTGCACTTTGCATCTGGTAAAACCGCTTTAAGTATCATACAGTTTATCCTACCGACAGTCGAGTTTTAAACTAAATACGCACATAGGCTTATGCAGGCCATCTGGAGAGAGGGTGAAATGCCAAAGTTTCCAGGACAACACAGATTGTTTCCAGGATATTTGGTGATTGTAATTCATTTCCAGGTAAAACTAGTCTCTAAATTTCCAGCTTTTCCAGGACTTCCAGGATGCGTGGGGACCCTGACAGTCCAGTTAAACTACTCAGGAGAGACTATTAGTCAAAACTGTGAATACGGGCTCGGCTAAGACAGGTTTAATGTGATACTACTGTATAACAATAATGTGGCCACACCTGTGAGATTCAGTTAATTCAACTGAATAAGATGCGGTAGATGCAGTGATAAGAGGACTCAACGGAGACCGTAAAGTTAGAAGAAGAAGCTACAGCTGTTTTTCTGATGCGTGTCACCATTAATTAGCAACATTATCAATGTAAACATGAATAGTAGCAATACTCACGTGGTGGTTGCCACATACCTCCTCATCATACCCGTAGTCACAGTACATCTTTGAAGATTATATTACAAGCATGAACTGGACAAGCCGCACGCTAAAAAAATAAAATAAAATCTGCCTCGGGACAGTGAAATAAAACCACTCATTTAAAGAAGCACGTTAACGGTTTTCACCTTGCTAATGTCTGCCACCATGAAGAAAACAGCGAGCCCAGCTCATCAGCCAAGAATTCAGGAGCAACGACCCAATCAGTGGCACACGAAGTCACTTCACAGAGACAGCGATACCTGCACTCTACAGCGAAACCAAAGGCCAGGTAATGGAGTGTCCACGTATCCATTACATGAGATTCCTGGACTGACTCGTATGTAACAGTAACAGCAATAGTTTACTGAGGTGGGTCACGCAGATAGGTATAGGTATTTTTATATTATGGGCTGTTGTCGTCTGATTTTCGAAGGCGTTATCTAAAAAAAACAGAGTTCATCTGTTTATCTGACTGCTCTATTAATTCATGAAAAAGTAGGTATGTGCGGTAATATAGAAAACTTTGACAGGTGAATTGTAATCAAATCGTGAGGCCATTGAAGATTCATGCCTCTATTTCAGACTATAACTTATAATCTTATAATACTGCTGGAGAAGAGTCATACGATTGTCAAAGATAACACCTTTGATGAAGAAAACAAGCGCTTCAGAAAAGAGGGAAGACCACTGGTCATCCTTTGTTTTTCACAATCAGCTGGTCAAGGAAGTGGCTGGCTGCTCTATAGCAAACACTTGTTCTCCTCTGAACCAAAATATTTGGTAGCTTCCATCATAGTGGGGTTGATTTCTCTTGTATCTGTGCTGCTCTACAGCCACAGCAGCTACTACAGACACTGTTAATGCTGCCAACAGTTTGGCTGACTAATCAGATGTCCTGATCCAGACTCTGTCGATTGCACATCCAGGACATCCACAGGGACATGTGATTTCCTTTGAATGGAATATTTAAGATTTGACTGATTGAAAGTTCAAACTAGTGCACATCCACCAACCAATCTAACCACCAACCATGCAGGGCGACCCCTTAGAGAAGCACTTCATATATCACAGCAGGGGAGATCCGCACTAAATTGAGCATATAATCCACACCAAATGCTGCAGATGGAGCCATGTTTCATGACAACTGTATTTTAGCACGTGCTCACACACAATATATCATTAAAGCTACTTATATGTGCTAATTTTCAAATTTCAAATAGTGTACTAAAAACCTAAATTGAAGTGATACATACCTGACCATAAGTCACCACAGAAAGATTGGTTTGAAGACCATTTGACGCCCTATTTACAGCATTATGAGACAGTCCATTTTGATCTTGCTGGATTGGCTCTTGCGTACGTTCCCAGGCTCCGCCGGGATCTCTGAAGCTGTTGTCAGTGGCGTCATGCTTGTTCTTCTGCGGCGAGGCGAACGGGTTGAAGTCTCCCTGCACGTTGCGCTGGGGTTGGGTGTTGAATTCCGTCTCGAACGAGGACAGCTGCTGGGTCACGCCGAGGAGACCTCCAACTTCTACGCTAAGAATCACCCAGATTACATCTACGGAGGAAGAGAAACGTACACAAACATGGGCTGACGACATGACTGATTTAACCTACCGGTCTTCTAAACTGAGTGTATTGGTTGCGCGGACAAAACCAGCGATTTAAAGACGTGGCTCAGAAAACGTATGATGGAATTCCGATGAAAAACAAGTTGACAGATTTAACAGAATAAAGAAAATAAATGTTAACTGCAGCCCTAATAAATTGCCTCATTAAAAACAAATCCAATCTTTGGACATTTCCTACCTCCGTAGAATAATCCGGTGGCGGTACACATCCTCCACTGGCCCTGGTACATGCCTGGAGCTGTGGGACTTCGCATCTGCACGCTCACATCTGAGATTTCCTGGGGGTCTAGCGACTTTACCATAACTGCGTTTACGTGCCCGAACTGATCCCCACCGATGTACTTGAGACTAACCCCAGGTGGCCACGACTCTGCACCTGTAACACAAACAGACGAAAGCACAGATCGGTAACAGAACCGCGACGGTGCGCCTCGCGTTTGTACGTGCGTATGAGACGAGCGTGAATGCAGCGACGTGCTCCACACCTGTGTTCTGTATTCTCCAGGTCTTTGTGAACGGTGTATCCGGAGGAACAGACTCTCCTTCCCCAATTGTCACATCTTCAACAAAGGACATGGATGGCGTGTTGACGTTGGGACTTTCAAAGTCGTAATATGCACCAATAGCAGCCTGCAGGTTCCTGTTCCAACACAAAAGGAAGAGCGTGGCGTTAATGCGGCGCAAGACATGTTATGTTACAATATACGCATTCAGACTGTACAACAGCTCCTCTGAAGCCACGACTACATTATACTGTGTTCATGGGCCGTGACTATTTCTCACACTGATTGTGAAACCTGTGTCATCCACTAGCTGACTGATCATGAGACAAAATGCATCTGGATCCCTGACCATGTGACATATTTCCTAGATCCTATTCATCATGTTGTATTTAATGCACAACAACAACAGTACAATGAACCCAAATAGTGATGAATGAAAATGAACGATGGATTTTAAGCAGGTTGTTTCCAGTGGATATTGCATCCGATGTGAGTTTTGCTGATATTTCAGGAACCTTTTATACAATTCTCTGTCTGTATTATGTTTTTTTATTTTATTTTTAACAATCATACAAACTAAATAGGCTTCTTTTTGGACAGAATTTGACGCCTGGACAGTTTTTCTAATGGCTCTTTGGTGGTTTTACCTTTTCTAATGCAGGACGAGCTCTGTGAGTATAGCTTGTGTTCAGGTAATAAAAGTCTCGCTCTTAAATAATAATCCAAACATTAAAAAAACAACATTTTTTGTTCAGTTTTAACATAAAATGAACGAAATGCTGAGATATCGTCTAACCAAGAAGATGACTTACAACCGTGGCTAAACAAATCTGTAGAAAACAGACTACACTTAAAAAATATTGATCTTTTCTTAAAACTATCCCAACAGAGAAAACCCCCCACAGAACTGGACAACTAGTCACGTGATGAGCTCATACTTTCTGCATGACTTTTATGCTCCAAAATGAAAACTTTAAACAAGAGACAAAAACAAGATATTGTGGGTGTGTTCTCCATTTACCAAAAATATAAATAAATAAATAAATAGAATAAAAGTGTGATCAAGGCCCATCGACCTCGTGATCAGCTAACCAGGCCTGATATCAGTTTGATGAGACACACACACACACACACCACCACAACACACAGACACACACCAACCCTTGTTTGTCAGCCGGTCGATGGAATCAACGACCGGTTACGTCACCAAGGACTAACGTGAGGTGACTCGCGCTGCGTTGAGTTGTGGCTTCCCCACAGAGCGCGAGCGTGCTTTAACTGGCTCGAGGCACTATTATGTAATACAGGCAGATAATCTACACAGCGAAGAGTTCAACTGTGCTTCCAAAATTATTATTAGACAGATAGTTAGGGGGAGCTCTTTTGGGAGAGGAGGGGATTCACCTTTAAAAAAAAACAACTCACAGTGAGGAGAAAACTTTACGCGTTTCACCTTCCGTTTGCAACCCCCCCGAAACGGTCGGCCCAGGAGTGAACTAACTAACCATTTCCCCCGCCGTGTTTAGGAAGTATATAAAAAAAAAACGAGCCTCCCTCTGAACCACTAACATATCAACGTCTGCAAAAACCAAAAAAAAAAAAAAAAAAAAAAAAACCCTAAACCAGCTAATTAACACCGCCAGGGGTTCAGCGTCATGTTATGTGTCCGAGCAATAGGCCCCATCGCATCCCCGCACTCACCAGTTTGGTCCATGTCCAGGAAGAAGGCGCAAGCAAGGCCGGGTTGAGCTGAAAGCCCAAGCAGCCTCTGAAACTCCGAGATGAGGACGTCTTTGTCCCGTGGTGCCATGCAGCTGAACTTCTGCATGAGCTCCGCGGTTCCACGTCCATGTCCGTGCCTCCCATGGGTGGCGGGTGTCCCGTACAGAGACGGGGTGGTACGGGGGGTCGGGGGGGAGGGAAGAGAAGGGAGGGGGAGTCCTCTCTTAGTTTAGTCCGAGGCCTTGTTCAAGCCATAACAACCCAAGCTCAACAACAAACAAACCGTCAGTGCGCATGGGCACGAACCTGGGGGTGGATCTCTCCCTCCAACAACAACTAACGGAGGGGG